TCACACCAAAAAGAGAACTTAGTTCCGAGAACTTTTACCCCCATTTTTTGTCCCTGCTAGAGAGGTGGTACTATCCTGGGGAGAAAAAAGTACCAATTTCTGATTGGCTGGACGAATTGCAAACCACGCCCCGTAAAACTCTGAAAAGCTTTTTGAAGCAGCCATTGTATTTGCTGGCATTAGCATTATTAGCATTAGCATTAGCCCAGCGCACCAACGGAGAGAGAATAACTTATGGCAACACAAAAAGCTTCTACTGAAGCCAGTCCCTAACTCCGGGGACTTCCGGCCGGGGACTCCGGGTGGCAGTATACGCCGTTAAGTTGTTTGCAGCCTGCCAGTAAACCCAAAGCAGAAGAAGAAGAAGTGACGTCAGCGGCTTCATTTGCATAATCTTCCTGCAGGGAATTTATTCCGGTGTGAACACGATCCGCTCTTAGTTCCATAGGGGAGCTAAGTGCTGGGAGCTAAGTGCTGGGATCTAAGTGCTGGGAACTAAGTACGGCAAAGTACTTGGTGTGAAAGCGGCTATTGACGTCAGATTGATCCTCTAATCTCACTCTTGGAAAAGCTGCAAATGCATTCATTTATCTCAATGCTGTAATTATGTTGCTGTGTTTCAGAAAACGGGCCTCAGCTGTCGGTGGCAGCAGAACAAACGAAGGTGGTTTCACGGCGCGGAGGAAACGCTACGTTACCGTGCAAGATCCGAATGGACCAATCAATGACACCCAGCCGCAAGATGAGGATCAAATGGACCAAGATGACGTCGGACTACCTGAAAGAGGTACCAATTTACTTTATAAATTATAGAATATCTGCGTTTTATCTTGTAGATCAAACTAACATTTTAATATTTGTTTTATTTGGAATTAGGGTCTCCATTTTGTTGATATGTTGAGCTCAGCATGCTAAAGTGAAGCCAGTAAATGCACGTAACCTTTCCTTTGCTGACTGCAGAAGACCACAATGTTTAGTGCATTAATTGACAGTCGGTAAAAGTGATGCACACAGAAACCTAGCAATACACCTAGATAAAGAAAGAATACAAACATTTAGAAATGGATAAACAATGGACGTTGCAAAACATTGAAAATAATCAGAATTGGCAATTTTACATCTTGTTTTTTGTACGAATGAAACAAGAAATATCTGACATGTTAGATATAGTTAGCTTTCATGTTTCACTTCTTATGCTAAGCTAAGCTAATGGGATATAGTTTGTAGCCTTGTAATTTACAGACAGATATGAGACACACCTCTGCTCATCCAATTTTCCACCAAAAAGCAAACTTCCCAAATTGTCAAATTTCTAGTTTAAACTCTAAGTTAGACGTTTGTTTGGAAAATTCGGAATGTGCCTCTCTACCGTAGGTTTATCTTATAAACAAATTAGAATGCCAAGGTGTTTCCATAAGTGAAAAAGGATTTAAATCAGAATTGAAAAGTGTATTTCTTGGCTTTAGCTTGAGCTTTACGCCAAGTTTTGTGAATTTTTTTTTTTAAATGACGTTTTTCCTTCATCCGACAAACAAACAAACAAATAAACAAACACAGACACACAGGTAAGGATGTTGGAATAACACTCACTGATGTTTCTCCATCGTTCTGCAGGTGGATGTTTTCGTAGCCATGGATTACCACAAGAGGAGTTACGGGACTTTCCACGGTCGCGTCCATCTGCAGAGCTCGTCTCCGATGGACGCCTCTCTGGTCATCACCGAGATCACCCTGGAGGATTATGGGAGGTATAAATGTGAAGTGATCGACGGGCTGGAGGACGGGACGGTGGTGGTGTCTCTGGATCTGGAAGGTAGATCAAAAATACCAGTTTTAAACGTAAAAATATCAATAAGATGTTTTTGACTTGAGTGTATTAAGTGAGACAACACGACAGTCAAAGTCAAAGTCAACTTTATTGTTTGTGTGTGCAGAGATCGAAATACCGTTTCCCACAATCCCGAATACAAAAATATATACAAATATGTACGTATATCCTATATATACACAATCAACAGACACATTTATACATATGCACACATTAAGACATAAATAAAAGCACAACAATCAAACAAAAATAACAGTCACTTCAATGTGTTTCAATGAGACCTTAGAAAAGAAGAAACCAAGATATTTAGGATCACAAATGTGTCCTGATAAGTTTTAGGTAAACAGAATAGTATAGTTTGAATGCTGTTTTAGTTTAACACATTAATTAAAAGCAAAAACTGTATTTTTGTTTAATAAATGAGGTGTCCTTCTATACTGCATTAAAAAAAGAGTGCAAAAAAATGAAAATGTAGAAAGTACGCCTAAACGCACTATAACATTGTCATCCTTCTAGTTTACCAGTAATCTGTATTTTCTATGTAACTGTAAGCGAACACAGTTACCTTTATTTCTTATCCTGACTACGTACTACATGTAATCCATTTCTCCCAAAGCCTGGTTGGATGTCATTGCTCTGTAACACGCTGCAGACTAAATTTAGCAGCGACGCTCGGGGGAAAGTCAGGAGTGTGTTCCGTGAGCAAGGAGAGCATAATAACTGAATAAAGACTGTGTGTGTGTTTGTGTGTGTGTGTGTGTGTGTGTGTGTGTGTGTGTGTGTGTGTGTGTGTGTGTGTGTGTGTGTGTGTGTGTGTGTGTGTGTGTGTGTGTGCAGTCGGAGGAGCTGAACAAAGAGGTGGTGATGCAGACGGAGACTCTGCATACAAGCAGGTCGGAGGTGTCGGAGGTCAAACGCATGCTGCAGTCTCTGCAGGTTGAGCTGCAGGCCGCACTGAGCAATGTGAGTGTCCTTTTGCATTCAAATTCGATCTCATTTATATCACCTTGTTTTATTTTGTATTGACAACTATTTGCGCTACTTTTACTTTCATATTCTCGCTTTGTTTTTAATTGTATGATTTTCTTTCTTAAAAGATAAAGTCATGCATTAAAATTGCTACTCAAGTAGATAATAATATTAGCAGTAAATGTACCAAAAGTAAAACTAATTCTGCAGAATACAAAAGAAAGTTGTTGTATGTTGTATTGTATTGTAGTGTTGTATCACAATTTTTGATGCATTAATGTGTTAATCGACTCAATGTTTCAGCTGGTAAGCATGGAGCTCATTTGAATAACCTTGTATACCACTGGGCGTACTGTTTCATACATAAATAATACAGCTGAAATATACATAGATATTAATCTGAAACAATAACTCTGTTTTTGCAGAAAAGCTCTATGGAGGCATCTCTGGCCGAAATACAGGTCCGCTTCTCCATGCAGCTGTCCCAATACCAGATGCAGGTAAGACTGGAACACTTGTTAAAGTATAATATGTAATGTTTCTGTATTCAAAATTATCTATTTGGTGAGTCGGGTATTTACATCCTGAATGCTTAAGAGATACGTGTCATTTGAATCAAGGTGATGATGAGTTGGAGAAGACTCCTACTGGGGACATTTTAGGAGAAAATAAATCTGATAAATCCTCACTTCTTGAGACCTCCTAATGGAAGTTTCACAACTATCCGGGATTGCGGTAACTTGTGGTTATCGCTAAACCAACAAAAGTTATAAAATAATTTGTGGGTTTTTTCACTATTTAGGTACCCCTATACTGGTGTCAAAAATGAGTTATTTTATAGGCTTTAATTATATGGTATTGGTAACATAACAGCAGCCATCGTCACTTCCTGTGAGGGCACAACAACCGTGTGCGTTTGAAAAAAATTAGTCGAGCAAGGTCGAATTTCAGGCACTGCACAAATGTTCACAGTGATCCACATGCAGTGTACTAACTGAACCAATTGAGTCACAGCAGTATTCCCATTTAGCCGCCTGTTTGCAGGTTTAGGGAGTTACTGATTACATGTAATGTGATTACATAATCAGGATACAAAGAAAGGTAACTGTATTCCCTTACAGTTACATACCGGTAATCAGATTACTGTACTGTGATTACTAGCAGGATTACAATGTTACTCCAAACATTTAAAAAGAGCTTTCTTTTTCTCTGGTTAATTTGTTCTGTTTTTAATTCAGTAGGTGAACCTATATGTTCATAAAATAGTGTATGTGAGCTTAACTGTGTCTATTAAACTAAAACGAAGCATTTCCTGTCAGCTCAGATTTTATTTCTGCTTTTTTAAAGTACGTGCTACTGCCTGAACATGCTTAATGAAAGGCACATTTTTCATACTAAATAATACATCTTGGTTTCTTCTTTTCTAAGGTCACATTGTTCTGTTGTCTTACAAACTACACTTAAGTAAAAACCATCTCATCTTGTATTTATTTGGATCGCATTTAATTTTAAGGTTATTCAAAAGTGACGGAAAGTAATCTGGTTAAATTATTTGATTCTCAGTAACTGTCCCAACATTGCCTGTTAGTAACCACCTTTTTTAAGACACATGAAAGCTTCAGATATTTGCCAATGGGGTATTTACTGACATCATTTATATTTTCCTCTTGTTCTGATAGAGTACCCTCTAGTGACAAAACATATGGAGTGTTTAACCTGTCATTCTCGTTACCTGTGCAGGTGAGCAGCATGGAGGAGCAGCTGATGCAGCTCAGGGCTGACCTGGAGAGGCAGGGACAGGAGTACCAGATGCTGCTGGACATCAAGACCCGCCTGGAGATGGAGATCGCCGAGTACAGGAGGCTGCTGGACGGAGAGGACGTCGGGTAAGAGGAGAAAATCAGCTTGAAATCAAAAATCAAAATCAGTCAGTGATGTATGAACTTCAACACTAAAAAACATTTAACATTTACCACACAGTGACTTTTACTTTGCGTACTCAAAAAAGTAGCAGATGATTTGCGATATTAGTATAATAACAATAATAATAATACATGGTATTTATATAGCGCTTTTCCTGGTGCTCACTAATGGTGCAACATAATAAGAGAATTAAAATAGGAAAATAAAACCAATTATTTTAATAAAAAACGGATTAATGTAAAAATTATGTAAAGTATTTCTGAATATTTCTAACACTGTGGGGCAATTTTTCTCGTTTAACTTGATCTTTTAAACTTACTGTAACTTCCTGTGCTCGTCTCCCAGGTCCGCCGCTCTCTCCTCCTCCTTTATCTCCTCCTCCTCTCTCTCCTCCTCCGCTCTCTCCTCCTCCGCTCTCTCCTCCTCCTCCTCGAACACTTCGAACACCACGACCACCACCGTCATCACAAAAGCCATCGAGGAGACAATTGAAAACTGATGAAGATTTCTCCTTCCTCTTCATCAGCCGCAGCTCCATCCTGACGACAATCCGGTTTGTGTTCATGTGATGGAACATCTTTACTCTGCTTCCGCAAATAAAACTAAAGATAACTCAGAGCGTGTCTGAATTTTCTGTAACATAAGATGTAGTTATTATTCAACCTCTAATCTCTAAATATCTGAATCCAGTAATAGGCAGTGGGCGAAAGTAACTAATGATTACACCTGTATTATACTGTTATAAGACCCATATAGCACCCAATATTAGACTTATATACCACAAATATTACATATTACATATTAAACCATATAACACCGTAAATATAAAATAATAATATATAAAATAGCAGACATTTGACGAGCGCACAGAAGCAGCCTTAGTGCGAGGCGAAGGTTTTAAACTGGAAAACAGGAGATCTGTGCAAGCAGAAATATATCTGAGTGCAAGTGTACGGTTTGAGCAGAAGCAGAGCAAATCTAAGCGCAAGCAGGCGCTATTTGGAGGGCCAGGACAGGGTTTGAGGGAAAGAAATACAACATCTGAACGTGAAATCAGGAAATTATGCTCTCAAATTGAAAGACCACGCTCTTGAATAAAGATAGGGAATAACCTCCATACTCTTTAGCTGAACTGGAAACATCACCCAACAGTGTAATAATTTCCACATTTACATTTTGAGGACGGAAAGCAAAAGTCCCAGAGAATTGTGTGACACCTAGTTTCTAATGTACTTACAAAGCCAGACTTGTTTGGGAACAAGGAAGTGATGCCCTTTGCGTATTCCTCTTTAACACGACTTGAAGGACTTGTCCTACAGACACAGACACACACAGCGTGAGACACAAACACACAACTTCTGTAAAAGAAGGGTGTTGTACAGTACTTCACCATATCAAGTCAATAAAAGTGTCCTTGGTGTGTAGGTATGTTATGATTTTAGGAAAACATACCCATGATCACTTGTCATTTGTGCAACCAATATCTTGACCATCTTCTCCTGGCATCTGTTAGACTTTTAGTCCGAGCATACTTCATGATCCTCTCTCCACCAGGTTTGTTCTTCAGAATGTCTTCAATCATCTTAGTGGAAGTAATAATAAAAAGAACACACTGAAACGTTTAAAACAGTCATAAAATATCAAGTGTAAAAAAACACTAATAATCATTATTTCACAACTTTCATTCATCTGTCATTTATCACTACATTTTCAAGTTTGTTTAAACTTTCAGACAAAGGCTGTAATGAAATCTGCAGAGCTTACTTTGGCTAAACGACTATCCTCTTCTCTCTTTGTAGAGGCAGGACTACGCTGCAGTATGATGGTGTCATCAGAGTCCACATCGCTGTAGCTTGTAACGGAGGTGCTTGCAGAGGAGCTTAACGAATCTGGAAATCATGTTAACAAAGATCTGGTGTGATTGACAATAACCACAACACAATTTAAGTGGAAATGTCTATTGTTAATTATAGATGGAATGCCAAATATTCACATAAGACAAGCCCCACTACTGATTTAAGTTAAGGAAAAATAAATATATTAGTAATAATGAGAAACAACAAATCAGCAGATACATTTGAGTGTTAGGGATAAATATGGGGCTCCAAGATGGAAAGAAACTCACCATTTGGATCTTGAGGCAAACAAATCTCCAGGACACCAAGGTCTTGTTTCTGTATTAGAAACTCAAACACCTCCTCATCAACTTCAGCCTTTGTTACATCAAAGACTTTTAAGTCCAAGGTGGGAATGTCAAATCTCTTGGCAACTGTGAAGACAAAATAAGAGTTGTGATGAAATACAGTATTTTGTATATTTGTAAAGAAAAACCAGAAAACTGAAATCAAGTCCATCTTTACTTCAAAATGTTTACCCCAAAACTGCACAGCAGCCTGAGTAATACAGCAATATCATTATTATTATTAGGGCCCGAGCACGGAGCACTAGGACCCAACGGCGTCTTAGCACGAAGTGCGAGGAACCTATTGTTATTATTATTATTTATGCAATGAATAATGATGCAAAGAAATGTTGAGTTCCCTAAAAATAGAGAACCAATTACTTTTTTTTTAACCCTCCTGATATATTAGTTTTTCTGTAACAGCAATAATATTGCTGGGTAAATTTCACCCAGTGCATGTTTAATTATTCAAAAATGGTCAGAAACCCCAAAATCCAGATTTTTTGTTTGTACATAGTTTGTACCTTTTATTACTGTCAATGAAATCAATATTTAGTGAAATTGTGTTATTCACCTCCCACAAATCATGGTTCCATTAGAATAAGTCACTTGTTTTTCATTCAAACACATTTTTCAAATGTATTTTTTCATTGGAAAAACCTTGATATTAAATACTTTAGTTTTGCATAACATAACATAATTTAAATAATTGTTTACATTTTCAAAAATGTTTTCCAATCGGTTGATGTTGATAAAGACACGAGACACCTCTTCTGTGCAGGGTCAAATTGACCCGTTCACTTAGAATCAAGCCAAATGAGTCATAAGGATTTGTATTGAAAGTATTTTATTGTAACAGAGCGTGTGTGTGTGTGCGTGCGTGCGTGCGTGCGTGCGTGCGTGCGTGTATCGTAAAGGTTTTAACGGTACTACTACTTTTATCGATACCGCTCCATCAAAAACCCAACTATGCAGCTTCCACCTGAGGAACCAAGACGCTAAAAAAGAACTGAGCGTCACCTGGGATGGCCACAAACTGTCCAACCATACGCATCCCATGTATCTTGGTGTTACACTGGATAGGACACTCTCCTTCAAGAAACACCTGGAGAACACCAAAGCCAAGGTCAACACCCGCAACAACATCCTGCGCAAACTAGTGAACTCCAAGTGGGGCGCAGATCCACCAACAATCTGTGCAACTGCCATGGCCCTGTGTTTCTCTACAGCAGAGTATGCCTGCTCAAGCTGGAGCCGATCACGTCACACCAAACTGGTCGAAACAGCCTTGAAGGACACCTGCCGCATCATCCCGGGATGCGTTAAGACAACACCTGTCCCGTGCCTCTATGCGCTAGCCGGCATCTCTCCCCCGCACATCAGACGACTAGGTATCGCTCAAGATGAACGGAGAACACAGGAGACAGACATCAGACACCCCTTGCATGGCCATGTAGCGCCCTCACGCAGGCTCCGATCCAGAGCCAGTTTTGTGCAGACAGTCCTGCCCCTCCAGACAACCAAACAAGCAGCAAGGACCAACATCTGGGAAGATGAATGGCAAAGAAATTACACACAAGCTCTTGAATGGCTGGACAGAGGAATCACACCAACGGAAAGCCTCGCTAGTGGCCACGACCTTGGCTGGACAACCTGGAAGTCACTTAATAGANCGTGCCGTCATTGGGCGTGCCGTCATTGGGCGTGCCGTCATTGGGCGTGCATTGCAGCAGTACTTCAATGACTCGCCAGCAACAGGCGGCCACTTTCACCATGGCAGTTAGGTTCAACATCGTCTACTGGTCGCAAAAGAAAAAATGTAACGGAGCAAATTAAGAACAAAAAGAAAGTGGAAACTATGAGAAGTCAAACCAGAGTCAATATCGGAGTTGCTTTGGCTGTGTAGTATTGCTAACCTAGATGTGTTTAGCTTTGCCTGATATGTAACGTTACTGCAGCCTGCTCTCGCGGAGGAGGTGCTCTGTAAGGAAGTCTGAAGGAAGGGGCGGATTCTTTTTGGCTGTGTACTTTCAAATTTTAGTGCACTCGAGCCGGTTTCTGAAACTTACCTACCCCACCTTTAACTGATTTTAGTGCATAAGTGCGTCCTAATGCGAAGTGAAGTAAAATGCATTAAGGCTGAGTGTGGAATATTGGACACTTCTTACACTCAATGATCGCCATTTTGGCTACAGGTTACACATCGCTTGCAGTACCTTCGTTAAACTCAGCATTAAACACATACAAGTAATACATGTGGGTTTTGTTTTTTTCGCTCTTTGAGCAGGGTTATTTTACAGGTTTAATTGAGCAGTCGCAAATGATTTGGTAACATGAACAATCGTTGCTTGCTGCCGATCACCATTTCCGGTGAAGGCACAGGAGCCGTGTGCAATTTGAGACAACATGACCAGGTGAAAATGACCACTCTTCGCCAGTGTTAACGGTGTACGACATGAAAGTTTAGTAAGGGAAGTGTTCGAATTGAGACACATCATTAGTATGGAGCCCTGACGGAGAAGACAGACACAGAGGGATGGTGACAGTGTCACAGAGTTAAAAAAAAGGATTGCCACCATCGACACACACACTGTAATGAAGTCATGGAATCTGCCATTTTTAATTCTATATGCTGTGCAATAACAGCCAGTAATGAATAATTTACGGGATACGGGAGGCTGATACTTGACGCCTTTTCACTTTGTGTTTAAATTTAGCCGGTGTCATTGTCCAGCGGTGAGATTAATAGTTTATCAGTCTCGACTATACATCCACATGAAATATCTCTTTCCATCTGTCATTAAATTGCAGATGGAAATTGGTTAGATTTTCAATCAGGCAAAAGCTTGGACCACAAAAAAAAGGAACATTTTGAAAAGGAAATAGCCATCAAGATGTACTCGCGTGCCGGTAAGGCTGTGACCCAATATAGGATATCATTTGTGGAATACTGTAAGTCTGCAGACAATGACTTTTTGTAGAAAAGTGAATTGAGACCTCATACAAGGCACAGCATGCATCCTAAATGTGGTTTTAGATAACCCTGAGATGTGTAGCAGTGAAAGTGAGAGTGAAAGAGAGGGGCCGACTGCAAGGGGGTTGACCAGCGAGCCAGAGATTGGTTTCCCTGTCAAATAAAGATTAGGCATTTAATTCACCGTCTAATCCCTGAAAATCTCTCTCAGAGGAACCTTGGCAGTCCCGGGCTTTTTTCAAAGTGCAGAGGCTTCTCAGTCTGCATGTCTGTCTTATGTACACAAGTAACCTGGTTAGTGCATTTAAGTCAAACCAGTTTCAAGTGAAACAAGCAGGTTGATTGTACTTGTAAGCCTAGCATTTCTACTTTTAATTAAGTCAACGTAGAAATGCTAGGCTCCTTAACTCCTCCATTCAAAAGGTTACTTAAGTAGAAGTACAAAAGTTTAGAGTGGTACAGAAATTAGTCTTGGAAATTAGTAAGCATTTGACCACTTAGATTCACTTGTCAATTATTGGCATGAAAATATAAAAAAAGTCAACGTTCTCCGGTTAGATGCCTGATATAATGCCTGGAGCTTTTACGTTGGTTGAAAAAGACGGTTGCTAACAACTTACAGTATGTAAATAAACCGTCACCACGCCAAACACGAGACCGCCTTTATCTTAGCGCTGGTGAGATGAACCCATGCAAACAGGATGTAGTTTGTTTATAGCCTAACGTTATATGTGCTGGCCTATTTAACTACAAGTACATAACTAGTAATTATGAGTTTCACATGAATGTAGTGCAGTATAGGGTACGCTATGCCTCTTGAGATGTTATAGAAGTAGCATACAAATAGGGAAAATAAACTACAAGCATGTCAAAATACTACTTAAGTATGGCTTTTGAATACATGTGTTTAGTTACCACTGGCTGCATGTTATAGTTATTATTTAATTTGGCTAACTTGTACTATTACTTCATTTTCTCACACGTCTCCAGTTTCCTTTTCCCCTCCCTCAAATATGCTGAACATTCTTTTTATTGAATAATTAATGCGTATATTGAATTATTGAAGGAAGATAATTTCTGATCAGATTAATATTAACTTCCCATTAAATATGAATGGCCAATGTTAAAAATGATGAAGATACGGAACTATTAATATAATCAAAAACAGGCGCATTGGTGTGAAGTGGCGTGGAGTCAAAAGTCTTCGGACTGCTCCGATCCCTTTTTTAAATGAAGCTTCCCTCGAGGTGGGTGAATATGACTTTGTACTCTGACTCGGATAATGTCATTGGCCCTTCTTTCCCTACGGCTGACGTTGTGTCATAGGTCGAAGGTTACCAGCATCTGTCTGCAGGTACCTTTTTCACCTGACCTGATCTTTGGCCACGGGAAAATATGTGTTGCCTGTAATATTAGTCTGGATGCTCTATGATTGGCCGAGCTCCACTGTAGCACCCCCACCCCCTCTTACTCTGCTTAACTCAAATAAACTGGTGTCTGCTTTGCCTTAAATGTCTTCACAAAAGGTGGCGCAAAGTAAATCGAGCGAGCCTCAGCCCTTTTGTCAGTTTTGATTAAAACTCTCTTTAGATTAACGATATTCAGCAAAAAGATTTGATATATCATTCGCCACCCTTTTGGTTGGTGATTATCCCGATTGTATTCATAAAATATGGAAATCAGACACAAAATAAACCATTATTGAAACACAATGGCGAGCACCTAGAAAATATGGCTACATTGATTATGTTTTAAATGCTAATCCCAGTGAAGAACATAATAACGAAGACATGAAAGGCTCTCTATTCAGAATCTGATAGCCAGGGAGAAGCAAATTATTTCAAATATTTGATATTTAAATTATTTTCAAATGAACAGAGACATGAGTGGAGGCGAGTAGTTTCCCCTGGTGATCCTTGGGGCTTCTTTGTTTCCTTGGTGTGTCTCCAACTCATTAATGTTCTAAGCATGTGAGAGAACCAGACCATACTCCATAACCCATCGCCGGGTGACACCTCGGGCCCAACACACACGCACACGCACACACACACACACACACACACACACACACACACACACACACACACACACACACACACACACACACACGGGAGGAATTTCAAACAAACTGTGATGCTTTATTTCAGTGGTTCCCAACCTAGGGGTAGTTGAGGGGATTGCAGGGGGTCCGTAAAACAATGCAATATATAGTATTTCCACGCATAAAACATTTAAAAAACACATTTTCGTAAGCCTGGTGTCCGCGGTAACAGTTCCTCCCTGGTGTTTGTCTTAAGCCTGGTGTCCGCGGTAACAGCTCCTCCCTGGTGTTTGTTGTAACCAGTGTTGGAGTAGTTACTCAAAAGAAGTAATGCATTACACGTTATTAGTAACTTTACTTTGGATTACTCTGTAACCTGAGATGCACCATGAAAAGCAATATAAAGTTAAACATCATTTATGCTCAGATCAGCTGTACACTCTGTGTTCTGCTCTTTATTTGCATGGTCAGGTAGAGACAAACTACATCTACCGGTACCTAACTGCTTTAGGAGAGACACGTGAAAGAAAACAAAAACGGCTAACACTAAACACCGGCAAATACATTTCTCGTGGATTTAGATCTGGTGATCCACCGCAGCCACAGTGGTTTCTAAGCCTTGCAAATAATGATATGAAGCCAGCCTACCTGCAGCGGCACCAGAGCTCCAAACACGGGACAAAAGGTTGGGTAAAATACACCAACCAAGGGTTTAACACAACACACATGCAGGTGAATCTTCATTTACAGATTGGCGACTAGCTCAAGGGATTCACGAGTCAAACAAAGGTTGGGAACCACTGCTTTAGTTCACGGAAACCTTGCATTGTAATGTGGGATCAACACATAGTTTACACATATTTAATGTTCTTATTATTTAATCAAGGCGAGGGTGGGAAGATATCACAGCTAACCGTAAAACAACGGACAATCGAAAAGGACAGGACACGTCTGAACTGAGTTTCACAGCAACTCCATATCCGACGGAAACTTCGGGCACTTATCTTGTTCTGTTCAAGACCTACACAAAGAATCAAATCCTGAGGTCATGAGGTAGGAAATCAAGCCCTGCACAACTAAAAAAGATCTTCTCCGTCCCTACGTAACAAGGTGCTACTACTGGTACTTTGTACTTCATCACACCGTCCAGTATTTTATGTTTTTATACAACCGTGTTGGACCAAACATCGTCACCTAAATAAGGAAAGAATCCAACATTTCTTTATGTTTTTTCTAAGTGTGTAGGATGTTACTATCTAGAAATGTACTTCTGTTTATGACTATTTTTTGATATACTGTAGACATTATTATTTTCTTTGTCTTATCGGCCAAACTATCCAAGTCTCTTTGGTTTACATAACATAACGACAGTGGTAAAAATACAAATAAAGTATGAATTTTGCACTGAAGACGATGTAGACAAACAGTCGCTGTGCAGAAATAGAAAACGCCTGGCATGATTAGAAACGTTCTGCTGAGTGTGGCTTCATGTTAGCATGACTTAGCACCAAGATCTACACACGACATATAGCTATCTAGCGCCTTGAAAACTGCTATTTTTGATACAAATACTGTAGTTTCTTATAGTGAAAGAGCATTAGTGACCTCAGCACTCGGTACGTAACTCCACATGAATGTTTCTGTGCAGGAATCACTTGTTATATCTTCTGATTGGAAAAAATGTTCAAATTGCATGAATCTTGCATCTTCACGTTGTACGATATCGTGCCACCTTTAAAATTTGCTAGATGCACAATCAAGTGTCCAGAAGACATTTGAGTCTCACCCATAACTAATACAGTTTGGACTCAATATATTTTGTTAACTAAAACTACCCATAAATGACCACGGGATGCAAAGACTAAACAAAAGGGGACACTGTATTTGCTCCAAAAGTAGATTAAGATTCACCCTCTTCTGGATAACTACATTGTTGTTGATTCACGGAGTTACGTAGGGAGAGCTGAGGTCACGGATGGGATCGGGCCAGATGCTAAGTGTTCGGCTCATTGATCGCTATCTGAGCTCTGCAGAGACCCAGCGGGCCGGCAGCCAACCTGCAAACTGTTAGAAACACATTGAAAAAAACACCAAGCGTTCTTCCATGTAAGAGTATCAGAGCAGTGCTCGTTGATCAGGAATTAGCTCACTGTACGCAGTCCGGACAGGTCATCATCTCTGCGTGGCTTCAAATTGGACAAGCCACTGGACTATCGGACACTCTTATCTCCGCAGAACTGCTGCACACGTTATGTCACGATTAGACAGGGTGGGAAATGAAAAGGAGATTTTACAGAACAGCAGCTGAAGAGTCTGCTGCAGGATTGCACAACTAAGAGATGTTTCCTTTTACTTGTGTTATTGGAAGTTTGAACAGTTTGCAAACGGTGTTAAGTGTCAGTTTATTTAACGGATAGTTTGACATTTTTAAGAGTGCAACCTCACTGCAAAAGACGTGAGAAAATTCCTGCTTTTGCCTGAGAAAAAGATGATTCTTCTTACTCCCTGTAAAGATAGAACATTTCGTTTTTCCTTGTGTTTGTGTACAGATTAAAGAAATGGACAATAAGTACAATTCAGAAAGACAGATTGACACCAAAGTTGATTCTGTCTGTGTTAAATATATACGGCTAAAACCAGCAGCTGATTAGCTAGCCTAGCTCTTTCCAACGGTAACAATATCCACATAAAGAAGTGCTGATCGGGGCATTTTTAAAACGTTTGGCTAGCTGTTTCTCCTTGTTTCCAGTGTCTTTGCTAAGCTAAGCTAACCACCTGCTGGATCCAGCTTCATAATTAGCATACACATGAGAGCATATTTACGTTCAGTGATTGTATTTCTTATAATGTCAAGCTATTCCTTAAAAGCTTAAAATAATCTGTTGCCTGTTTTTTTCTTCTGTACAATCTGACCGATGCTTATACCTGCAGCTTACAAGAAAAACCTTAGGGACCCAAAGACAAAAGGACAATAAAACCGATCATAAAACAGGACTCTGCCTCCGCCTCTTTCCTCATGGCTCGTTGATTTCGCCTATTATCACAAATCACGACATCTTATGAGCAATCACTGCAGCTACGCTAAAAGTAAAGACAGCAGAGTTGATGTAATGGACTTTAGCTCTGTTGTAGTTCCTGGGTAATGCAGTAATGTTTCCAAAGGGAGGGGCGCTGCTGCCTGCACACACACCAATGTTTTCCTGCAGAAACACCAGGCCATTCATGGTGCTGATTCGCTAACGGGAAAACAACCGTATTGCCAAAGCACGGGACTGCTGTAGAAGCCGAGTGACGGCATGTTGGTGACGTCTGGGTTTTTATGTTGATTCATGTTCACATGCTGGTTTCTAGGGAGGCCGTTTGTTTTAATGGCAAGACCCACAGGCCAGCATTCATGCACACTTCTACATACGCGTGTAAACATTTTCTACAATAATACAAGGGTGAAACAAAACAAAAACACTCATAGTGTATATTTCTTTAGCAAATTCTTTAAAAAGTAGTTTTCAGCCAATAACACTCTAAAAACATAGTTGGAAGCAAGAAAAACCCTAATAAATAATGATTATCGACCTTACATTAATACATTTCAATTACCTTATCATAGTATATTTATTGTATGACTTTCGCAGTAAAATGAACATCCAAAAGATGAATACCCATGTGAGGAACATTGCACCAATTCCGGAAATGTGGATTAATTCACCCTTAAAAAAAAGTGCCATAGAAAAACGGTAACTTCACACATGCCGGATGAGCACCGTGTTTTTACTGACATTCAGTGTTTTAACTTTAACTCACTTTGCTGCAGTCTTGTTCAGGTGTCCAGGATCCTGGGATAGAAGTGAGTCTGGGTGTGTTCATACGTGAAACATGGATTAAAGTAAAACAAATCTCACATAGAGAGACACCACATTAAGAGAAGTTAATAGAGTTCTGGTTACAGATATAGCAGTTTGCTGGTACTGGTAGTAAAACAAAAGGTAATATTGATAATATTAAACATGTTTGATTTAACAACAACAACAGGCTTAGATCACAGGATCGCGCCATAGTTAGCAATCTAGTGATTTTATTCTGAAAATTGGACATTTCTAATTGCTAGTTTGAAATATTCTTCCAAACAGCATGATGTTACAGTATAGCATGGTCCCATTTAGAGTAACATAGACAACCAAGCTAGTTTGCTTGTGCTGGCATTAGCTGGTCACTTAGCATTAGCCGGTGACTGAGCATTAGCCGGTCACTTAGCATTAGCCGGTGACTGAGCATTAGCCGGTGACTGAGCATTAGCCGGTGACTGAGCATTAGCACTGGTGACTTAGCGTTGTGTTATAAATAATAATATTTTCAATTTCTAAGCGCTTTTTCAGGTGCTCATAGACACTTTACAGTGGTATTAAAAAGGAAATAAGATATAAAAAGTTGAATTAAAATAGTAAAACAACACTATTATTCAGACATTAAAAAGCCATTCTGAAGGTGTGTTTTGGTCAGTTATGGTATGCTAACGGTATGGTAACGGTACTTAGCCTGCGTGGTACGTCGTTCCTCTTCATCTCCACGTTCCCATCCAAATACTGTAAGGCCATAGCCACGTTTATGGTTTGTACAAGCAAACTTTTTTTTTAATATCACAGGAATTTGATCCGTTGCAGATGCAACAATAATGTTAAGTTACACATTGTAGGTTGTGTTCATGCAATTTGTGAAATAAAAGACGACACAAACACAGGCCATGTTATGATAATTCCTATTATTGCACACACAGCTGACAATGACACTGAAACCAGGATGAAGGACATTTTTTTTTTACAGTTACTCAAAATGGAGAAAGAAACAATGATTACATACAAATACGCTCTTGTGCCAAAGATACAGTAAACCACATGGAGTAGAAGAACATTTAAAAAAAGCATTTACACTGACAGACAATATATAAAAAGGAAAACGTATGAAGAGGAGATCTAAAAACAAAGCTTGTCTCTATGATGGCGTATCAGACTATTGTAGGTTTAAAAAAAAAAAAATCCATATTTCAAGGAACAATTCAAGAGATTAAAGTCGTATATGTACATACACACTTTGATAAATTCTCTGAGGTTATAACACCATACCTTTGCAGGAAAAACGCTGCAATAAAACACCGCATATTACAGTCGGTGTCAAAACATCTGCATTTATTTTAGTTTCAAGTAGCGCAAAAGCCAAACAACTATAAAACATGTCCCCAAATGTACTTTTTAATTTATTAAAGATTATGTTTTATACTTCTTATATAATAAAATCCAATTTATTGAATTTCCATCTATGTATTTTGTATATCATAATTTTGGATTTTATGTCAGAGAATTTTCTTTTTTTATTGAACATTGTGAGTTTTTTCCAACTTGAGTTCGACACTTTAATCTGAATGAATAGTTTTATCCTTTTTAAATGTCATTTTAAAAACGTTTTTCTTGGATTATCCTCCCCTTCTATGGCTCCTTATTTGTATTTGTTTTAACCTACAATGGTCCTAATACACTCTCGTATTTTCACATTCCTTTATTCAATGGATTTTAAAACACAGATTCCAGATCTGTAGCAAAACGCAACACCTCTAAGCTCAAAACCCAACAAATATTCGTAGAAAAGGAGAATTTGGAGGTGAATTTGAGTCAATAAAAAGCATCTCAACAAATGCTTTGAGATCTGTAAACAGCAAGACCTTTATTTAACATCACAGTCCTTTCATAGTTTTTAAAGTATACAATAATTTAATTTCTTATGGCTTCGTATAGTATCTATATTATATATCCTATGATTAATAGCACACACACATTCATAATAATCTCCTCTTCAGATTCGTGTGCCGCTCTTTAAATCTCCATTTCCCTTTTATTTAAAAAAACTTTTCTCAAGCTGAAATATTTTGTACAAAAATCTACACGTGGAAATCAGCTGGTGGAAACGGGTCTTAATGAGCAGCAACAAACTGAGACTGGACACGTTGGGAAATGTTCTTAATAATAATTTAAAGTGATGAATTCATGCTTTTTCAAAACTACTGGACTGGTTTTTATAAAAATAAACCATTCAAGTATTTTAATATTGTGCTCTAAGTTCCCAACGTTAAATTAAAGGCACCTTGTGCAGTTTAATCAATGTTTTTAAGAGTCGGCCCCTTTTTTACGTATCACAAACTAAAATAAGCTCCACAGCGTACCTTTAAAAAAAAGATTGAAAAATGTGTTCAGGTCCTAAACGAAAGAAAGGAAACACAAGACTTGTTTCCGCTGCAGGGCTCGACTCAACTTTCTTTTGGTTTTCCATCAGCAAAATGTGTGGATAGTACCTGGGACTTTCTTCTTTTAAAAAGCCAAGCTAACGTCAATAGCTACGGCTAGCTTTATTGGATCCTAACACGTCCGGTATGGTATGGATTTATTCTGCAGATACTCTGGGTAAAAACAGATATTTTGATCTACGTCAAAGTCCAAAATGTGGCTTGTAACGGATATGGTAAGGCTTGGTTTTAGCTTTAAGGAGACAGCACGATATAAATACGTTTTTCCAAAAATGGTAAAGCGCAGCCAAGGTGCTTGAAGTATACATTCACTGAAAGAAAATAACATTAGTGGTGGTATGCAAGATCAGCTGAGTTCATGGAGAAAGAAACTATTTTGCAGGAGTTGCGGAAATAAAAATGTCAACCTGCAAAACCACTTTAGGCAATTTGAAGTGCGTTTGTTCGACTGTTTGGTTCTGTATAAAAGGGTCCAAAGAGTGTCACAGTTAAGCTTTCTTGTCAGTTTGATGCAACAAAGCTATGATGGGATACTAAGAGTCCGTCGACATTGGAAAACGTATTCTCGAAAAGCACCAGGTACCAAAATTGAGTCGAGTCGAGTTGGATCGTGCAGAGGAAACCTGACGTTTCTCAGACGTCTTGATAATGACCATTAAAAGTCTTCCTATTCGGAACGTTGTGACTCGATATAATCAGAGAAGAATTAAGATATGAAACTAACTTCTCACTAGTGTTACGGTTCAGATCCTGGAGTGTTTCTGGGGGACAATGTACCGGTGAAGCACCATTAACAGACAGTTCATTGCATCCCTCTGTCTAAAGATGCCTCTGGACCAAACAGAAATGTGTTTGGCTGATTTAAAAACGCTCGGATCAGTGCCTCATCTCTTCCTCGTCGTGCGCTTGCTGCTGTTGCCTCTTCTCCCTCTGGAAAGGGTTCCAGATGTTCTGAAAGAAGCTGAAACTCTGCTTCTGCTCCTCGTTTTCGTTCAGTTTCTGGGGACTCTTGGTGTGGTGGATGTGCTGGATTTCCTGCTCGTTGTTCCGGTTGTTGCGGCGCCGGAGAGTCATTGCCTTGTGGTAAGTTGCGGCTAGGAAAACACAGAAAACACAGCTTTAAAAAGTGAAACATTTCGAAATGTCCATGGAGCCTTATGCTAGTCATAGAGACAGACACAGGATAGCAACACGTAGCCATCTCTGCTTATCTTATTATCTTATCTCAGACTGTGGAGATCTCAGATTTGGGGAATGACTCACGGCTCGTGCAGGTGACTTTCGGGGCGTCCCATTGGCCGTTGGCCCGGCAGCGGATGGTGGGGGCGTGTCTCTGGATGAAGCCCTGTTCACAGTGATATCGCAGCAGCGTGTTGATCTCGTAGCGAGGCTTCATTGCCCCGAACACCCGAGCATCCTTCACCATGGGGGGCTGCTCACAGGAGACTGAGGGGGCGGGGGGCAGAAATGGAGGATTACACTTCAAGAAATGTATGTTAAAGACACTAGAGGAAGCAAAACAAGCTGTGAATACAACCAGATGTGCAACAATTAGTCAACTAATTGATAACTCTATCAACACAAAATAATTGCTGACCTAATAGTTGTTTTTTATTAAAGAATGACCGTTAATGGCATCTAACATTTTTATAATCCCTGTTTTTTGAACCACTAGTATGCCCCACTTGGACGGTTTGGAAGAAATGTTTCATTTAGAAAAAAAGGGCCAGCTATTCTAGTAATGTATTAATTGTCAAAGTTGTTTTTCATGCAAAATGTTGTTTTCTGACTCGAATGTAAGCCTTCCTGCTACTTCCATTCTTGCAAGGATGAATACATATATGGATCCTGATATTGAAGCTCAAGCCGGTGACGAGTGATATTTTTCGTACAACCTTAATGCCGCTTTAAACAACTAAAAAAGTGTCTCTGCAGTCTGACAAAACTCCCCCACAGTTTTTCTGAGGCTCTTTGCAGTGTATGTCAATGTCTGGATGTACCTGTCCCCTTCTTGCAAGTGAAGGTCAGGTGTGTTAGTGTCTGGATGTACCTGTCCCCTTCTTGCAGGTGAAGGTCAGGTGTGTTAGTGTCTGGATGTACCTGTCCCCTTCTTGCAAGTGAAGGTCAGGTGTGTTAGTGTCTGGATGTACCTGTCCCCTTCTTGGAGGTGAAGGTCAGGTGTGTTAGTGTCTGGATGTACCTGTGCCCTTCTTGCAGGTGAAGGTCAGGTGTGTTAGTGTCTGGATGTACCTGTCCCCTTCTTGCAGGTGAAGGTCAGGTGTGTCAATGTCTGGATGTACCTGTGCCCTTCTTGCAGGTGAAGGTCAGGTGTGTCAGTGTCTGGATGTACCTGTGCCCTTCTTGCAGGTGAAGGTCAGGTGTGTCATTGTCTGGATGTACCTGTCCCCTTCTTGCAGGTGAAGGTCAGGTGTGTCAGTGTCTGGATGTACCTGTGCCCTTCTTGCAGGTGAAGGTCAGGTGATAGTTGCAGGGAACGTCGTTCCACTGCCCCCCCTCGTGCCAGATCATCACCACACAGTCCTCTCCAGACTGGAAGAAGCTGTCGGGCTGGTTCGGCCTCCAGTGGTCGTATTGCTGAGGGAACACAAATAAATACACTCTTTAAAATGCATCTCCACTAAGCTGAAAACAGAGCTGTTGTTCAGAGAAATCTTTTGAGGCACTTGGTTCTCACAGGACAAAGCTACCAACATGAGTAAAATGCTGAGTAAATAGTAAAGAATAATACCTGAAGGATCTCTGAATGAAGTCTGAAATATAACATTTAAATGTCTAAAAATGAACTGTCACTAAAGAGCACATTTTGAAAAATATGTCCAAAATCAAATGTGAAACGTGTCTCAACACTTTGGATAATTATGTGCAAAAGTCCAAATGCATGTGTAACATTTACGAGGAGGCATGTCCAAAGTGCGTTAAATAAAATTACGAACAACTAACAAATAATGATCTTTCAGAATATGATGCTTTGCTGCAGATTAAACTAGCCAACAGTATATAAAGAAGGGGAAGAGCATAACCTTACCAACAGAAAAATGCAAAAAGAAAGTTTCAAAAACACTCGAACAGATGTATGAAAACATTTCTCAAATATGTAAAAAAAAAAAACCATTAAATGTGTAAAATGTCTGAGAAATTCAGAAAGAATTACTTGAAAAATTACAACAAGAGCTCTTTAACTCATGTGACTGGATGCAGTTCCCAGAGAGAGCAGGCAGTGGTGCTGCAGGCCGGGGAAACCATCGGCTCTAATCTACAATCTGCAGTTTATATGCAGGAGGAACTTTCTGCTTTAGTTTAAAACAGGAAAATGAACATGCTAGCGTCATACAACATGCACTTTATTAAACTCCAGTCAGGGTGTGCCTGTGCTCTGGATGAAAACACCGTCTCAGGTTTCAGACCTTCAGAGAGTGCATGCTCAACAGCTGACGCACAGAACGGTGTCTTCATGACTGAAAGCTCCAGAGTGCAGCGGCTGGTCACTAACACACACCGCGTCACTAACACACACACACACACCGCGTCACTAACACACACTGCATCACTAACACACACACCGCGTCACTAACACACACCG